CGGTTGTACGTGCTTAAGGCGAAGAGAAGGAGTGATTGCACGAGTTTCCACTTGTTCATATCAGCTGTTTTCCCTTATCACCTCACTCTCACCACTCCACGTGGAGAGAAGCAGCAATGGAACAACCGCACCATCAGGCAACCATTAGAAATGAAGTTGGGTGGCGTGGTCGGCAGGTGGGCGGAGCCGTCGGCTCTTTGCGGGCGGACGCCGCTGTTCCGTCGCATTTTTGGGTTGCGAAACATGCACGTCCACCATCCTCATAGGGAGCTATCTAGGCTCCAAGAAGGGTGTACGAGAACAACAAATGAACGCCGGCGCGCTCTCTACAGCACCCCCATTGGACCGTACTCACATATCGTATCGAAGGACGGAATATAGCTGCATTTCGCCATTGGGCTGCAGTGTGGGAGTGGCTTACGTAAGAGACCAAGCATGCAATAAAGCAGAAAAAACCAGCAACTGACTGAACTCACCTCATTATCATAAATCAATCTCGCTGTCAAACAAAGGCCCGTGCATGACAGCACACATTCAAAATCTAGCAGCACTATAATAAGAAGTTTGACATACTGAATACCTTACAGGAGGTCAGACCTGATAAGTCTGCTTCCAAAGCATCATAGGAGGAACGGGAGACTCGGTTGCCCTGACCAAGACTGATCCAGAATTCGATTCTTGCTCGGAGGACTGGAAACGGTGCCGCTTACCACTTCGCCCCTTCACCTCACGCATTTTGAAAATGCAAGTAATCCGTGTGACTGGGCACCATGCTCAGCTTTTAAACGGACTATGAGTGTATGTCACAGTGAGAATGGCGTCACTTGTGCGGCACTCGCACCAAGACCTAATCGACTTCAAGGCGCATTCTGCGCTAATGGTGTAGGTGAGGTCGTTCGGACGAGAGCGTTGATGAGCTTCGCCCCACCGCTCAACCTGGAACAAAGGAGGAGCGCCCCAGCGTAGAAACTGAGCTGCTCTGAAAGACTCCAACTACCAGACCAGCACGGATTGTGTTTTTAGTGCGGAGATCTACTGTATCACAAGTCAGCTAGCTAGGAACTACTATTTTGCGCGCCACCGTAGCATGATGATGACCTCTTCGCCCACATCCAAACCAATGACTTTCTTCTACAAAGCGACTGCTTCCTCACCGAGCTGTTAGAATATTTCAAGCAAGTATTAACAGCAAATAATAAAAAAAATCGTCGAGACCACCGGTAGAAAATGAATATCTGAAGAACTGAGTGATTTGCTAACCTCAGTCGGATAACGAATTCCATAGTTGGCATCTTGAATGCGCTCAATGAATGAGTCAGCTTTGTTCAGCAGCATTTTCTGCTCGATGCCCTTCCAGTCGAAGATCTGCAACGTTCGTGCTCCTTATAATGAACACAAGCTCGTGCTCCGAAATACAGACGCTCGGACTCACCTTCTGCTTAATAAGCAGGAACGCATTGATTGGGTTTGCGATGTCCTTAGCGCCAGTCTTTAGTGCTTCTTCATTTCGTGCAGTGTATACCTCCGCCAACCTGAACATTTACAGATAACGGACGACTGTCTGCACTAGAGCCGGACACTGCAAAAGTGCACTAGAGGTTTTCTCAGAAGATCGTACTTTTTGAGCTCACTGAGTCGAACTCTTTCGTTCTCGATGTACTTGTGAAGAAGTGCTGGAATGGACTTTTCGCTGTCAAGTAGTCCTTGCATATCAGCAACAGAGGTGAATAGATCCGCATGGACCGCCACCAGCAGCAAGGCCAGGAGGCCTACCACGTTCTGCATCCTGGAATCCAAATAGAAATGAATAGCATAAGCGGTATAGGGAGCCATCAAAGCGAATGAGACCCATATCCGATATCGCGGAAGAACACCAAATTATCATGATAAGTTATCATTATTCCTACAGCATGAGGAGTATGAGGCCTGTCATGGGCGCTTCCGCTCCCAGACGAGATAAAGCCTAATTCTGAATGATCCCTAACACATACTTCTTTTTATTAAGGATAATTTTAGGATTCTGGAAACTCCTATTTAAGAAGGAAAACTCACTGCAAAAGTTTCAGGACCTTGAGTAGATGCATAACGGGCGGCGCATTCTCTGGGATTCCCCAACGTACCAAAACTCGTTGCTGCTGATTTTGAAAGTAGAATAGAGAAGATGACTGACGCAAGAGTGGAGCATGTATAAAGAGCAAACCCGGTGTTTCATCTCCATGCAAGTAATTATGACGCGATTCAGCAGATTCAATGTTGTCGGCAGAGAGCTGCCGAAGAACAATTGTTGTCAATGGCGCGGCATCGCACCAGGACCTGACTTGATTCGCGCCTCTGAGTTTCCACGAAAACTGTTCAACGCGCGCAACAACTCTACAGGGGGGGGGGGGGCAAGAAAGTCACTCACGAGTCACATATCAGCGAAGTTTTCGCAGCCCAGACAGAGGAAGTGGATATGAGTACCAGGGCGGAAGATACCCAAGATCTTCCTCTATAAGCAGGAGCCGGCCTGCCGCCATTCACCTTCATGTACACCAAAATATGAAGTCATCTCCAGTCGCGGCCTGAGTGGAGAACGCCTTTGGAATTCACGTGGCCTCCAAACAGCTGCGGAACTTCTTGAATGGAATCACCCATGGATAGCTACCTGGAGACCAGTACTCTCGATGTGCAACCAAATGAGCAGCTCGACAACGTCGTACGGACAGGATATCATCTTCACGCATCACCACAAGGCGCGAGTTCTTGGTATGACCGGACAGTTCCTGCAATATTAAGGACAGATCAATTTCTATGTGACCACCGGATATTGCTGACGGTTACATCGACCAACTCGTGAAGAATATCCTGCCTTCATGTCATCGCCTGTACCTTCTTGGAGACTTCGTACTGCTACAGGATTGGGTGCCTCCACACGGAATCGAGGGTGTTGGAAAACTTTCGCCTACTTGGAATGGAAAGGACGTTGAGTACCTAAAGAAGACGAATATCCAAGTGCGTATCTGACTACCCCCCCCCTTCCCCAATAAACCGTGAGGCTCGAGCGGAGTCCAATCATGGTGGTCTACAGTAGCGGAGAAATCAACGATCTCGCCGAACTGAGGTACCGAATCACAGTCGCGTGGCAGAATCTCTCGATGGCGCTCGTCCAGAAGGCTGTGGCGGAGCATCATGATAGTATACAATATGCTGTTGAATATGGTGGTGGAAATGTCCCATCAGAATTTAATTAAAGTGTAACTTATAGCGCCTCGAAAGTCAAGGAAGAAAAGTGACTTTTTTTTCTGCCCCCCCCCCCTCCACTGTATGTCCTGAAGCACACGCCATGAGGGAATATAAAGCATACGTCTCAGATTTAAGAGCAAATTTCTGCCAGGCGTCGTCTCTGTGTATATTGCACTTTGCCTTAGCGAGAAATAAAATCGAGACAGCAAATGTTGATGAAGAAAAGCAGAATGCGCCATGCACTTGACGCCAATCAAAGTTATAGAGTCATCTGGATTCTTATTTGGCGCAGAGATTTGGCCAGGTGTGGAGCTTTGAGAATGTATTGTCAAAGTTGAGGTCGACAAGAACTTTTATCACTGAAGGAAAGTACACGGCATTTTCGTGATTTTCCTCATGCTCGGTGCAATTAAGCAAAATAATCACTCTCTTTCATGGGCTTATCTCACAAGAACTAGTATCGAGAGGCAGAAGACGTGCTATTATACGCTGGAGTTACGGAGTTCGAAGTATTCTCGGTAACGGGGGAATAGCAGTGACGAAGGAATTTGAATAATTTCAATATGAAACGACACTTCCTAGGGGTATAAATACAATTTTCATTCAGTTTATCATCAAATGCTATTCTTAGTAATTCCTTGGTGGAAGAAGAACAGAGTGACTGATGCGACAATATCAAGAAAGTGATTACTGTTCGAAAAAAAATAAGAAAAATGAAAAAGAAATCGAGAAAATGAAAAGGAAGTTGAGAAAATTCTTAGTGATACTTCTTGTTCCCTCAGAAAAGATTTTCTTGGAAAGCGGTTTTTCTGACGATGAAGAGCTGAAGGCGGCTTTTAACGCACATTTTGGGGACAAGGAGAAAAAAATATTTTTGAGAGAGTATCGAAGAAGTTGGTTTCCCAAGCAGAAGCGTATTTGAGGATATGGTCCTCTAGACGCAACTCAAGTTACACTAGGCCAGCTTCATTTCAGGTTGTCACTTTTTACGCTGTCATAGGATCAAGAAAGAGGCAACGCGCGGTCCGGGGCATCAAATCCCTCGGCACCCGTCCAGGTCAATCGAGCCGTCTACTCCCCGAGGACGGTAAATTGGTATCTGGCTCGTCTGGGAGGATAATAACACTGACTTGTGGAACGGCCTGAGCAAGGCATTGTATGGGCTACATGGCATTAATCTGCCGTTACGATTCTCAATGGAAGCTCAAGTAGCATTCTGAAAAAGGGATCAGCGAAGACTTCATTATTTGAACATGCAATCAGCCCAAACATTCACCCAGCATAACACCTATTTTTGAGAGATAAAGCTGCTGATTAGCTTGAAAGCACTAATCGGTGCGTTTTTGCGAAGGGGGGGATTTCGCACACTTAATACGACATGCCCGACCTCATCTAGACAGCTTTTTCTCGATTAACAGGTATGACCATGATGGCTTGACGAGCTTGCTCCAGCTTCACAAGATTTCACAGGTTTCACCAGAGTGAGACTTGTAAACCGGAACTAGTGAAGCAACAAAAGTGCAAAATGCCCCCCCCCCCCCCTCGGCGAACTGCGCCCTTAATCTAATTGCTGTGAGTACAACCTAGTCCGGTCTTCAAGGTCGATTTCACTGTCAGCAATGTGGAGGCCGTATTTGCCAGAATATTAACGCGACCTTACGAAGTTTGTGAGCGCTGCTGTCGCGTGCGTTCTCTGCACAAATGGGGGCGCTGGGACAGCGTATAAGTCATAAACACGTGACGCCCTTACCACGTACTTTCAAGCCGCAAAAGTGGCATTACATATGTGGTTGAGGACCTGCTTACTCTATGCAGGGAAAGTATGGGAACTCTTCCAATCACCTAGCAGTAGATTATGCCTTACTGAAATCAGTCGCCACATCTACTCTAGTTTTCAATGTAAAATGAGAGCTTAACACCTTTCAATAATGTTAGTCAACGCCATTTCCTGTTCTATGTGAACAGCTACGTGAACATCAGGAACTAGGGTAAATCTCCGAGAAACTCTAAAGGCGGACGAGGAATCTCGGGATCGTCTCCATCTGCCGCGGCGAAGCCCCTCCTCAGGTGTTTTCCAAAATCACACACATTGAGGGTGTATGAGACTATCAGCCCCCAGCTGTCGATGTGTCGTGGTCCCCCCGCCCAAACATGCCCAGGAATGGAGATACAGGACCGTGAAACACGCTAATTCCTCCATGCTCCGCCTTACACCTTTTTGCGGCGCAGATTCCCGTCCTTCATAACATCCGTTGCAAGCGCGGTGTCGCGTGCGGCTCTTCTTGGCACTTTGTCCTTTAATTGCGCTTTCACAATAACAAGTAAAACCGCAAATCCTGCCTGCGGATACATTGTGAGCGTGTACAAATACAGAACAGTAAAGATGATGACGAGGGTCAGAACTTAAAAGCAACTGTGCCACTTCTGCAACATCCCTGCCGCGTACTTCCAAAACATGAAAATAAAACGGCATACTCGTTAGTTTGATACAAGCAAAACGCAATTTCCTGATGCGAATAAAATTTTAGGTGTTGCTCATACTTCAAAATCCATGTACAAGGAGATGAAGATGACACAGGCTAGAAATGAAGCACAACGATGTAAATGTAAACAAAACAAAAATGAAAAAATCAAGGAAAGGCAAATTAGTTGAAATCGCCTGTAAATTTCTACGATCCGGCGCGAATTCGGCGCCAAAGCCATCGAAATACTTGAGAATAAAACGAGTGGGACGCTTGGATTGTTTTATTCTCATGTTTTCTGGGAATGCGCGGCCTCTGATGGATTCTGCGGATGCAGCCGAGTTGCTCTTGAGTTCTGGCCCTTGTCATCATCTTCTGTTCTTATTTTGTAGCACCTCCAATGTTATCCGCATCAGGAAATTGCGTTTTACTCGTATTTGAGAGCGCAATTAAAGGACTTGGCAAAGTGCCAAGGAGCCGCACGCGACACGCGCGCTTGCAACGGATGTTATGAAGGACGGGAATCTGCGCCGCAAAAGGTGTAAGGCGGAGCATGGAGGAATTAGCGTGTTTCACGGTCCTGTATCTCCATTCCTGGGCATGTTTGGGCGGGGGGACCACGACACATCGACAGCTGGGGGGCTGATAGTCTCATACACCCTCAATGTGTTTGAGCGTACCATGTGTCTTTATAGGAGGGCCTTGTTATGCGATTCGATGTTTTTTTTCTCAACAGAACAGTTGTAGAACGCTTTTGTCAAATTTCAAGGAAGAAAGCCGATAAGATTCCCAATCATGTAAATCATTAGAAATCACAGCTTTCTTATAGGCCGAAGTTTTTTGGATAAAAAGTGTGTACGAGTGAGGAGGCAAGTTCTTCAAAGAAGCCGAAATTCTTTTCAGAAGAACAAATGTGCGTATACAGTGCCCAAGGGCAAATAAGAAGTTCATACATCTCATTTGTATCCCTACAGCCGTAGAACGACCCTATTCAGTCAACGTTTGAAAGAAATGAGAACACTTCTGAGTAGTTACACTTCCTAAAATCTCTTTTCAGCACAAATTTTTGGTCCATGTGTGAAAGTTTAAGCTGAAAGGTAA